AATGAAGGCCTGGGAAACTGGATCCTGGGGTTTCCAGGCTCTCCCAGCACATGCTGTAGGTAAACCAGGTACTTTTCCACAGCTGCAAATGACTCTTGGTTCCAGATCTGGGTGGAGCAGTGAGGGGCATCTGACCAGCAGGGTGCAGCTCCGGGCTGGGAGCCTGGCTGTGACCTGCCACAGTTTGCAAAAGTTCCACTCCTCTGACTCTCATGTGTTCAATCATCCCAGTGGCAGTGGGTGCAATTGGAGTGTCTCTGCTCATTGACTGGAGGGGGAAACTGAGGCCAGGGAAGAGCCAGGACCTGGCTATGGTAGGATAGCAGTGAGGCAGTGGGGGAGGCGTCTCATCCTGCTCCAGCTGCTGTGTCCTGTGCTCTGAGTGTCCAAAGCTGAAGGAGGGTGGGCAGAAGGTTGGTGGGACCAGGGGCTGGGCCCTCAGCAGTCACTCGGCCTTGAGTGGAGCCCTGGACCCTGGGAGCACAGGCACCAGGGCTCAAAGCCCAGCCAGGCCACATGACACAGAGCATGTGAGTACCCCCTGAGCCTCCATTGCCTCATCTGTAACACTGGGAAATGTTGCCTTCCTTGCAGCGTTTGGGAGCTTGTGGTGCAGGCCTCTGGGTACAGATCTGAGTACACAGTATGTGCTTAATAAATGTCAGTTTCTCTCCATCCCATCTTCTAGGTTGCTGAGTCTCCTATCTTTCTCCTGGATTGGGGACCAGTGTCTTTTTAAAATATATATATATCTTGATTGATTTCAGAGAGAGAAAGGAAGAGAGAGAGAGAGAAACATCAATGATGAGAGAGTCATTGATCGGCTGCCTCCTGCACGCCCCCCATCCCGGGGATGGAGCCCGCAACCCGGGCATGTGCCCTGACCTGGAATCCAACCGCAACCTCCTGGATCCTAGGTGGATGCTCAACCGCTGAGCCACACCCGCTGGGTGGGACTTGTGTCTTTGTTGAAGGTTAGGGGCCCGAGAAGGGCCTGAGTCAGGCTGAGGCTGCCTTGCTCTGTGACCTGGGGCTGGTTCTTGTCTTTTTGAGCTTCAGGGTTTTCATCTGGTGAAAGGGGACGGAACCGTATCCCTCCTCCTACAGGATCGTAGAGAAGGTGAAGTGGGTGAAGGGTGAGCTGTTTTTAAACATAGACGGGGAGCTCCCCATCTCACAGGGAGCCCTGTTCTGGTGCTTGCTGCTGCTTCTTACACAAGCTGCGGGGAGAGGGGGGGCTTCAGAAGGAGGGCATCCCTCTCTGACCCCCCTGAGGCACTGACATGGGAGTGGGGACAGGCCTCACGGAGCCTGGAGGCTGGGAGATGCTGGGGGGACAGTGGAGAGGGGATGAAAATCAGACCTAGGGTTTGAACCCTGGCCCTACAGATTACAAGCTGGGAAGCCTTGGACCTCTCTGAGCCTCGCTTTCCTCAGCTTTGAAATGGGGGTGGGAGAATTAAGAACAGTCCCTTCACTGGGTTGTGGGAGGATCATTGGGATGGTGTGGGTGGCTCACCTGGCCCACGTGGAGTCAGGCTGTACAAATGTGCCTCTCCTTTCTGGGGTTACAGGACATTCAGGAGGGGTGGTTGGGGTGCTAATGACAGAATTTCAGTCATGGTGGCAGGGTCGTGACAGCTGCTTAGGTTCAGAATTGAGGAATTGGGGAGGCGGGAAGGTTTGGGAGTTAGCAGCAGTTTCCAAAGAGCAGGGCGATGCTCAAAGTGACCACTGGGGTCTCAGGATGACAGTATTAGAATTTATAAAAATTTCAATCACATTCTTTATTAATATCTGAAATTTTTATATGTATGTTTCATGATGTTCATGAGAAACTAGGATAGTAGCACAGGCATACAATTTAGAAATAAAGAAACACAGAGGAGCATGTTTAAAAGGTTCACTGACATAGGTGTGCAATCAAAATATCTGAACCCTCAGGGGTCAGGGCTAGCAGGGGCTTTGAAGGGTTTGAGGGGCAGGGTATGTGGGATGGCACCAGGACAGCACCGGGAGACTTGGACTTCAGTTCTACTTTGTCTCCAACTTGCTGTGTGTCCTTGGGCAAGCCACCTAACTTCTCTGAGTTCATAAAACAAGCAGAGGGAGCTTATAAAGTAAGTGGACGAAGGCTCTTTTCAGCAACTGTAAGTTGGGATTGTCTGATTCTGAGCTTCATTCCACATCTCAGACAATCCTGGATTCTTGGGACTTCAAAAGTCTTTTTGTGCCACACCTGGACTGGGGACTGGTGTCTTCTGTGGAAATTAGGGGCCTTCCTAAGCCCAGCTGTGACTCATCTGTGCTCTGCTTGCACACTCCCTGGGATGGGGAGCTTACCACCTTGCAGGGTGCCCTGTTCCCTGTCCTGTCCTAGACTGAACTGTCGTCTGCCTCCCTTTCTCTTTCTCTCGTTAAAGCTGAAACTGGGAGGAGAGAGGCCGAGGAAGTAGCTTTTCTCTCTCAGGGCTGTTTCATGTGGCTGTTAGCAACAGGCCCCGCCGCATCTGCCTTCCGTTCTGGGCTGCTCTCAGCCTTCCTGGTGAAACAAAGCCTGTTTGGTTCCCCAGGTGGAGAGGGCAGCTAGAGCAATCTCATTGTCAGTGCGCCGGTGCCCTGCTGCTGGTATTGCCTGACCACCCCTTGTAAGCTCACATCAGCCAAAAGCAGGTTATGTTTGTTGAGCATCTACTGCCAGGCTCCAAGATCAGTATTTTGCAAATACAATGCAATTTATTCCTTACTAAATCCAGCGATTGCCATTTTCCAGATGAGAAAACTGAGAGGTGAAGTGGCTTGCCCCAGGTCACACAGTGACCCGAATTCAAACCCATCTCTGTCTGACTCTGGAGTCCAGCTCTACATTACTCCTCTGTGTTGTCCCTTTCTGCCCCACTGAACAGGATGTAACATGGCAGAAAGACAGACTGAGACCTGTGTCTGAGCTAAAAAAATCCACATAGTCAGCAAGGGGGAAACAGATGGTGGGTGTTGGGTTGCCTGTCAGCTGAGCATGAATTACCAGAGCAGGGCTGCCTAGAAGCCATTGTAAACGTAGACCATATTAATAGAGGTAGGACACCTACTACGAGGGAGGAGATAGTCTTGCTCTTAGTGTGGGTAGAAGGTGCCCAGAGAATTGTGAGTGTGGTGGGGGAAGGGCAGAGGGCCTGCTGCAAGGACAAAGACATGGAAGATTCTGAGTTCCCTGTGACTGGAAGCATTTAAATAGAGGCTGCATGGACAGGATTCCTGCACTGGAAGGTGGAGGGCATGGGCAAGGTGACCTCCCATGTCCTTTCAAATTGCAGTTTTGTGGCTGGACTTCATCAGTTGCTTGGGCTACCCCAACACTCATCTATCAAATGTGCCCCTTCTCTATTATTCTCCTGGGGTCCATCAATCCATCCATCCAGCCACTTATTCATCATATAAAACAGCTACAGGGTGAACAAGAGAGACACAGGAAACTATAGTCCACTGGGGACAATAGTAATAATAATAGAAACATAGACTGAGTGCTTACGATCTGCCAGCACTGTAAGTGAATTTATCCCATTTGTTCCCACTACAACCCCAGGAGGCAGGTATGGTTATAATCCTCATTTTGCAAATGGGGAAATTGAGGGGCCACGAGGGACGGCTTTGGAGGGCACCCTTGGGGATTCACGAGTCAGGCGCCCCCAGGCCTGTATTGATGACTCCATGAACTTGAAGCTCTCTGATGTTCAGATGCTCTGACTAGGATCCCATGATGCCCAATGCCTGTCATTATAAAAGGGGGTGTAGAGGAGGGGCCCAGCCTCAGCCCCCCATCTCCTCTTCCAGACTGACCTTCAGTAGTTCCAGTTACAGCTTTAATGAGAACATGGGTCTAAGGGCTCCACTGGGATGTTCTCATTTGCTTGTCGTAATAGCCTCCTAAGGTAGCTATGACAGTATCTTCACTTTACAGAAGGGGAAACTGAGGCACAGAGAGATCAAGTAACTTGCCCAAGCTCAAACAGCTGGGCAGAGGAAGAACTGTGATCATGAGCTTGTACAGGCCACACTTTTACCCAGGATGCTCTACTGACCTGCCATTCCATCTCCTCCAGGACCCCTCCTCGCAGGCCCCTGACTGTCCACCCTTGAGGAGGGAGGGGGGCTAGTGGGGAGCGGTGCAGACCCCGCTGACTGATGTTCTCTTCTGCCCCCAGATCATGAGTGTCTTGCTGTTCATCGAGCACTCCGTGGAGGTGGCCCATGGCAAAGCCTCTTGTAAATTCTCCCAGACAGGCTACCTCAGGATTGGTAGGTCCAGGGGACAGGAAGAGGGAGCAGGGAAGGAGAGGGGAGTGGGCCCTGGCTGGGGGCAGACAGGCTGGGGTTTGAGGCCCTGCCATTTCCCTTCTTTGAGCCTCAGATCTTCCAGCCGCAAATGGGGCTATTCCACCTGCCCTGACCCGGAGCAGATTGAATGGCGCTTTGCAAACCCACCCAGCTTAGACAGACTTACAGCCATCAGTGGCTGCCCATCACACTAGAAGAAAGTCGTGAAGTCCAGGCCCTGAGGACCTGCCGGCCACAGAAGTCACTTGAATCTCCCTCTGGGCTTCCTCCAGGTCCCCTGGCTTCCGTGCTCCAGCTGCTTGTCTCAGGCCCCTGCCTGCGTGCCCTGTCCCGCAGCTCACAGGCTGCCTCCTCAGAGGCCTCAGCCTGGTTAAGGCAGACCCTCAGCCTGGCCCTTCCCTGCCCCAGTGGGCCCTCTGTTATACCCTCTTGTGTCACCCAAAATGTTCTGTTTGCATCTTTGTAGCCTCTTAAGAGTGAGAACTACAAGGGGGCAGGGCCTGGGCTTTCCTGTTCATTGTCATAGCCCCACACCAGTGATTCTCAGTGTGATCCTAGGAGCCCAGTGGGGTTCCCTGGGGCACCTCTGGTCCCTCACTACTCTCCTTGCCTTTCAGCTGACCTGATCTCCAGCTTCCTGCTCATCGCCATGCTCTTTGTCATCAGTGTGAGCCTGCTGGTCGGTGTGGTCAAGGTGAGGGCCCCGTTGGGGGAGGGGAGCCAGGACTTGGAGAACCCCAGCTGCCCTCCTGCCCCCTTCTAGTCACACCCACGGGGTGGCCAGAACTGGCTGCTGAGACCCCACCTGCACCCTAGAGATCATCACTGGTGACCCGCACCCTTCTATAACACAAATGGAGGCAGGGAATTTTGGTAGAGAAAAGAGGAAGAACTGTTTGGAGGAGGGGGGAGGGGAGAATGCAGTGGGTTTTGTAATTTGTGAGAGGAACCAAAGCAGAGGGGCGAGTGTAGACGCATCCACCTCAGTTCCATCCAGTGAGTGCATGAGAGAGACAGGTTGTGGCTCAACCTCCTGAAAGAGGAACCACCTGCTCCTTGGCCCAAGGAGGGGGAAAGCCAGACGGGAAACAGGGTCCTTCCTGGGCAGACGGTGGCCTGGCACTCTCAGGGCCCGGACAAGGAGCCAATGATTTGGTGCTAGGTTGGAATGTTTCCACCTCGCATGAAATGTCACTGTCACCTCGGGCTAATGTGATCCTCCCAGCCCTGCAACCAGGGATGGATTCCACCTTGTTCAGGGTGGTGCTTGTAAAGAAATGCAGATGGTTCAGTTAGAAAAATGGATCAGTCATCCCCTGAGGTGCTGAGCCTCAGTTTGGGTTGTTTTGGCCACCTCCTGAGTGATTTTATTCAACCACGTGAGAAACCAAAAAACCACCCTTTCTGTGAACTTGTCCCCAACTGTGGGATCCTATGCAGTAATACTGGTTGCAATGGTCACCTGCCTTCAGTTGAAAGAGAGGGACTTCAGCCTCAGCCCTTTAGGGCCTCTTAGCATGAACGTCCCCAGGAGCGCCCGCAGGCAGGGAGGTCTGACTGTTTTAGCAGCACAGGCCTTTCCCACCTCAGGGCCTTTGCTCATGCTGGCTTGTCTGCCTCCAGTACCCCCTCCCCCTTTCTCTTCTGCTTCTTCCCAGATCTATCCTGGTGTCTACACCTCCAGGAAGTCCTCTCTGATCCCTTCTCATCTGTAAAATGGTCCATTCTGGTTGAGTTCTTGAAAGGGAATTCAACCAAGCCTGCCCCTAGAATCCCTGGAGCACTTACCTCTGTAGATAGGGACTCTTCTTGTGTCTCCCGGACACCAAGGCTCCCTGCACTTAGGGCCTGGGTCTTGCCGTCTCCCCATCCCCAGAGCCTCACTCAGAGGAAGTCATGTGGATCCACGCAGGGTGGGAGAATTTGGGGGGGAAGGGAGCTGCCAGTGAGTGGGTGCATGGGGACATCAGGCTGCATGGGGAAGTGTGCAAGGGACGCCCTGACCGCGCTGGGCCTGCCTTTCAGAACCGGGAGAAGTATCTGCTGCCCTTCATGTCCCTGCAAATCATGGACTACCTGCTGTGCCTGTTCACCCTGCTGGGCTCCTACGTGGAGCTGCCTGCCTACCTCAAGTTTGTCTCCAGGAGTCGGTCTGTGAGTGCCCAGTCCTGCCCTCGACCCACCCAGCCTGAGAAGGTGGGAGGGGCTCAGGCAGTGATGGGAAGCCCCCAAGGCCCCTTCCTAGTTGGTGACCTTCAGCAAGTCCTTGAGTTCCTCCGAATCACCCTGAGTTCCTTCCTCTGTCAAATGGGTCCGGGATGCCATCTGCTCAGTGTGCCCCAGCAGCAGGGAATGAGGCAGGGGTATAGAGGGTGCTCACACATGGCAGACCCTCAACGAATGCCAGTCCCGGGTGAGTCCACAGTGGAGGGAAGGGCGCATGCTCCGCTTCAGCCCAGCCCTGCCTTGTCCCTCGTTTGTAACCGAGCTCTAACGGAAAATAAAGATGATAAAGCCACACTGAGCAGCCACAGTAGGATGCCGTGATGGCTGGTGCCAGTTGCTGACATGGCTCCCCAAAGCTGCTTTCCACGCTTTCCCTGACTCTTGTCCTTGAAAAGACTGGAGAGCTGCACTGTGGAAGGGCCCTGGGCAGGGAGTCAGGACCCTGGCTCTAGTCCCAGTGTCTGCACTGGCCCTTGGTGTGAATGTCTGAGCAACAGGCATCCATTTCTTTCTGGGTGAGGTGGACTAGAGAGGGGCATTGGTACTCTCTAGCAGAGAGTCTCTCAGGCCGAGGGCCCCCCATATGCCCCACAGTACCAGGGCTTCTGGTTGGCCTTAATTGCTGATGTATCTTCCTCCTTGTCTTTGTCTTCCTAAGCACCCCTCCAAGGTCCCACTGATGACCCTGCAGCTGCTGGACTTCTGCCTGAGCATCCTGACCCTCTGCAGCTCCTACATGGAAGTGCCCACCTATCTCAACTTCAAGTCTATGAACCACATGGTAAGCTGGGCCAAGGATCCAGTCCTGTCACTGGCTGTGTGGGCTTGAGTAAGCTGCTTCCCCTCTCTAAGCCTCGGTGCTTAGGCTGGGCTGGGTTCCTTGGAAGTGGAGCCTGGGAGGAAGATTCTTGTCTGAGTGATTGATTGAGGGAGAGTGTCAGGAAGAACCTTGAAAAGAGAAAGGGAGGCAGGTTAGACATAAGGAAGAAACCAGGCAGACGTGTGGCTTTAGGAGTAGCCCTGCCCCACCCCAGAGGGAGCCTTGGAGTGTGAATTGCACCTCAGAAATAATGCTATCTTTTTATTATTGTCTAACCAATTCTCCCCAAACATAGTAACTTGAAACAATAAACAATTGTTATCTCACACAGTTTTGGGGGATCAGGGTCTCTCATGAGGTCGCACCCAAGATGAAGATGGGCTGCAGACAATGAGGGCTTGGCTAGGTCTGAAGGATTCATCCCCAAGACGGCTTACTCACATGGCTGTCAGCTCTTTGCCTCAATTCTGCACACTGTGCACCTTTAAGAAGGCTGCCTAAGCATCCTCCTGTCGTGGCTGCTGGCTCTCCCAGAGTGGGTACCCGAGAGGCAGAGCAAAGAGAAGACTCTATGTCTCGGAGGTCACACTCACCTCTGCCACCTGCTAATATCCATGAGAAGTGAGCCCCTAGGTCTGGCCCACACTCGAGGGAGGAGAAATGAGCTCTACATTTTGAAGGGAGGAGTGTCAGAGAGTGTGTGCACATATTTGCCAATGCCATAGAGGCTGTCCCACTGTGAGCAGTAGCCTGGCACCGTTAGTTAGTCATTAGTTGCTGCTTCTGAGTTACCCCTGGGGAGGGGGCAATTTCCCAGGGACTCAGGACTAGGTGGCTCGATCAGCCAAGGCTGTGCTCTAGGGAAGGGCCTGCCCACCTCCAGCTGGGGGGTGGGGGCACCGCCAGGTGAGGGCCATCTGGGCCCGCAGCGGCTGGGCTGCTGCTCTTGGTTTGCTCACCTGTCAGTGGGACTGATGGTAAGTAGCACCTGCCCCCCAGGGCCCTTGCGGGATCAGCCAAGATAACGGCTGCGCCACACGTGTTCCTGCGTGTGCGGAGAGCAGGCCCGCCACGCCTCCTCATGTGGCCAGAGGCACTGACACGGCCTCCAAATCTGTTGCAGAATTACCTCCCCAGCCAGGAGGGAATGGCTTACAACCAGTTCATCAAGATGATGATCATCTTCTCTGTCGCCTTCATCACTGTCCTCATCCTGAAGGTGAGTGGCCCCTGCTCCATGGCTCCGGGAGGGGCGGCGAGGCTGTGTGGCCCCAGAGCCACTGTGCTGGACTGTTTGGAGGCAGGGGGGTACGGCTCCTGCTGCCACCCTCCCTGCTCGTGGCTCCTTACTCCAGCCCTCCCCACACCAGCTCCTCTGAGGTGGGAGCCCTCGGGGACACCCCAGTTAGAGGCAGTGGATCTGCGAAGACCACCTGCTTCAGGTGTCAGGAGCTTAGTGTGTAACCCAGACAGGCCCCGATCTAGGGAAGGAGGAGCTGTTCCGTCTGGAATTAGATTCAGAAGGACCTGGGTTTGGATCCCAGCTCTCCCCTCACCAGCTGTGTGGTTACTTTTCAAGTCACGTCTCTCTGGGCCTCAGGTCTCCTCTGTGAAAGGGACATAATAAGTCTTGCTTTGCCCGTGTCACAGTTTCATGTGATTCAGGCACCAAAATGTAGATGGGTCCTGAGGTCATATCACTAGAGGTTTGGTGATGAGAAGGAGGGAGGGAAATGGTTTTATTCTTCTCTGGGGTGGTTGGACCCAGAGGACAGGGTCCAGTTTCAGGCCCCAGTTCTTAGTGAGACAGTGACAGACAGAGGCTGCAGAGGCAAGAAAAGCTCTGCCCTCCGAGGGACAAGGCAACCAGGGCAGTTCGGCTGGAAAAGAGGTGGCCCAAGGGGGACATGCTCACCATCTCCAAATACTCAAAGGGCTCTCATGGGGATTCTAGAGGCCACAGCTGTGGCCTGAAGCCACAGGAAGGCTGGTGTTGACTCAACAGAAGAAAGGGCTTTAAAAAGTGTTCCTATCAGACTGTGAAAGTAACGTACGCTCATTGTAGAAGTTTAGAAACTACGGATGAGCAGAAAGAAGACAATCAGGCCCCATCCACTCCCCCCCAGGGACCGGCACTCCACGATACCTGGCGCACTTCCTCCCCGTCTTTTATGTGGGTGGTATGAGGAGACGTCGCTGCCTCCTTTCATTGGGGGCCCTGAACAGCCTCTGGCCTCACCTAATCCAACCTGGAAACAGAACTTCACTCTTTGAAACCTCTCCCCAAAATCCAAGTGCATTAGTGATGGGTAGTGAGAACTTTCCTGAAGCCTAGGGGGGAAACCAGTGTAGGTTTACATCACACACTCGACTAGAGAACTAC